CGCCCATCGCCCGAGGTCCCAGCGTCCGCCTACCACGCGCACGCTACTCCTTGTGCGCCCAGGCAACCCGCAGCTACTGCCCGCGTGATCCCAGATGCGCAAGCCAGATCCCAGACGCGCACGCACTCGCCCAGTAGCCGCCAGCGCCCGACGCGCACCCGCGTGACTCCATGACTGCTGCCCGCGTATGCTGTCTGCGCCCGACGCGCACGAGCTGCCCGCTGCACCCGATGCCGAGACCGAGCCACCGTGCGACCTAGGTCCGTTTGATGTGTCGATTAGAATCGACTAAAGTCCAAATCTATCTGCCCATTAAATTGTGGTGTTCAGACGAACTACATCAACGGTACTCTACATCGTCTCAGAGTCGGCAAAATTTAAAAGGTAAACGTCCATATCCTAACTATAGATTCCGCTGTGTTAGGATTTATTTCGATAAGTTCAATACTGTGCATGTTGTTTGACGTTCCTCACAGAACCCAACACCATCGTATTTTGAAGCAAATCGAATATGTTTTAAAAAGTCAAGAAAAATAAGCGTAAATAGAGGCAAGAACGAAAAAATAATCGTCTCCAAAAAGACTTGTTTTCGAAAATGGCACCATTATTTAGTGTGGATAATATGTATTTATCGTCCCGTCGTGTTTTGAAGCAAAATGGTACACGATTATGAAAGCCGAGGAAAATAAGGGTAAATAGGGGCAAGAACGAAGAATGTAATCAACATCTCCAAAAAGATTTGTTTTCAATCACGGTACCATTATTTGATGTGGATGACATATAATTATCGCCCCCTCGTGATTTGAATCAAAATGGTACACGTTTAAGAAAGTCGAGGGAAATAAGGGTAAATATGGGTAAGAACGAAAAATGTAATCAACGTCTCCAGAAAGACTTGTATTCGAACAAGGCACCATTATTTGATGTGGATAACATATTTTTATCGCACCATCGTGTTTTGAAGCAAAATCGTACACATTTAAAAAAGTCAGGGAAAATAAGGGTTAATTAGAGGCAAGAACGAAAAAAAATCAACGTCTCTGGAAAGACTTGTTTTCAAACAAGGCAACATTATTTGATGTGGATAACATATTTTTACCGCACCATAATGTTTTGAAACAAATCGAATATGTTGAAAAAAGTCAAGATAAATAAGGGTAAATAGAGGCAAGAACGAAAAAATAAACGTCTCAGAAATACTTGTTTTCGAATACGACACCATTATTTGATGTGGATAACATATATTTATCGCCCCATCGTGTTCTGAAGCAAAATGGTGCAGGATTAAGAAAGTCGAGGAAAATAAGGGTAAATAGGGGGAAGAACGAAAAATGTAATCAACGTCTCTGGAAAGACTTGTTTTCGATCCATACACCATTATTTGATGTAGATAACATATATTTATTGTCCCATCATGTTTTGAGGCCAAATGGGACACGTTTAAGAAAGTCAAGGAAAATAAGGGTAAATAGGGGCAAGAACGAAAAATGTAATCAATGTCTCCGGAAAGACTTATTTTCAAAAACGGCACCATTTTTCGATGTGGATAACATTTATTTATTGCCCCATCGTGTTTTGAAGCAAAATGGTACACGTTTAAGAATGTCAAGGAAAATAAGGATAAACAGGGGCAAGAACTAAAAATGTATTCAACGTCTCATGAAAGACTTGTTTTCGAACACGACACCATTATTTGATGTGGATAACATATATTTATCGCCTCATCGTGTTTTGAAGAAAAATGGTACACATTTAGGAAAGTCGAGGAAACTAAGGGGAAATAGGGGCAAGAACAAAAAATGTAATCAACGTCTCCAGAAAGACTTGTTTTCGAACACGGCACCTTTATTTGATGTGGATAACGTATATTTATCAACCCATCGTGTTTTGAAGCAAAATGGTACACGTTTAAGAAAATCAGGGAAAATAAGGATAAATAGGTGCAAGAACGAAAAATGTAATCAACGTCTCCGGTAAGACTTGTTTTCAAACACGACACCATTATTTGATGTGGATAACATATATTTTTCGTCCATCGTGTTTTGAAGCAATATGGTACATGATTAAGAAAGTCGAGAAAAATAAGGGTAAATAGGGGCAAGAACGAAAAATGTAATCAACGTCTCCTGAAAGACTTGTATTCGAACAAGGTACCATTATTTGATGTGGATAACATATTTTTATCGCACCATCGTGTTTTGAAGCAAAATGGTAAACATTTAAGAAAGTCAAGAAAAATAAGGGTAAATAGGGACAAGAACGAAAAATGTAATCAACGTCTCCAGACAGACTTGTTTTCGAACACGACCCCATTATTTGATGCGGATAACATATATTTATCGCCCCCTCGTGTTTTGAAGAAAAATGGTACACGTTTAAGAAAGTAGAGGGAAATAAGGGTAAATAGGGGCAAGAACGAAAAATATAATCAACGTCTCCGGAAAGACTTGTATTCAAACAAGGCACCATTATTTGATGTGGATAACATATTTTTGTCGCACCATCGTGTTTTGAAGTAAAATCGTATACATTTAAAAAAGGCAGGGAAAATAAGGGTTAATTAGAGGCAAGAACGAAAAAAAAAATCAACGTCTCTGGAAAGACTTGTTTTCAAACAAGGCAACATTATTTGATGTGGATAACATATTTTTACCGCACCATCATGTTTTGAAGCAAATCGAATACTTTTAAAAAAGTCAAGAAAAATAAGGGTAAATAGAGGCAAGAACGAAAAAATAAATACCGTCTCCGGAAAGACTTGTTTTCGAACACGGCAACATTATTTGATGTGGATAAAATATATTTATCGCCCCATCGTGTTTTGAAGCAAAATGGTACAGGATTAAGAAAGTCGAGAAAAATAAGGGTAAATAGGGGCAAGAACCAAAAATGTAATCAACGTCTACGGGAAGACTTGTTTTCGATCACGATACCATTATTTGATGTAGATAACATATATTTATTGTCTCATCGTGTTTTGACGCAAAATGGTACACGTTTAAGAAAGTCAAGGAAAATAAGGGTAAATAGGGGCAAGAACGAAAAATGTAATCAATGTCTCTGGAAAGACTTGCTTTCGAACATGCCACCATTATCTGATATGGATAACATATATTTATCGCCTCGTGTTTTAAAGCAAAATTGTACACGTTTAAGAAAGTCGAGGAAATAAGAGTAAATATGGGCAAAAACAAAAAATGTAATCAACGTCTCCGGAAAGTCATATTTTGGAACACGACACCATTTTTCGATGTGGATAACATATATTTATGGCTTAATTGCCGCCAGCATCACGACCTTTTACATTTTGGACATTTTAACCAAACCTTTGGAAATAGGAAAACATATCACGATCTTGTATAAAAATTGCAACCCGAACCCAATGTCTGACAGTGTGTTCGGCGTCCGTTCCTACGTGGCCTCGACTGCTCGCTGAATTGGCATAACTAAACCGACGTGTTATTTCTTCAAACCCTAATTATTTCTTCTACAAATTTCGTAGCTAATTTCCTAACTCTAACCCAAAAATTCACAGCCAATTATCCCCAAAAATCTCACCATATCTGGTCTGAAATATCTTGCTCATCTCGTAGACGCCAAAATTCCGAAAATAGTGGTGCCTCCAATGTGTCGACACGGAAGCTGTGCGACCACAGTAAAGATGCGATCGTTCTCACCTCCATGACTAATGATAATCCATGTAGGAGGTTCTACAGATGTCGGAATAGAGAGGTAATGTAATTGCAATGAGAATTTGGCTGAGAACAACAACAAATTGTGAACCAGTTTTTAAAACTGTGAATCAGTTTTCAAAATCCGATAACAACAAATAAAAAATGACAAGTGATGCCCATACCTGTCACTCATGGTCGCAACAATGGGGTCGCGGATCGTGACACCTTGTTGGCCCGATTGGACTGGAACAAACGCAGGTTTCTTCGATTTCAAGAGAGAAGGATTTTTTTGTCGCAAGTTGGGATTATGATTTGTTAATTTTTTGGGCCCCGATTTTCAATTTATATATGGGGTGGATGTCCACGTGTATCACACGTGTATTTTGGGTTTTTAACACGTCGGTTTAGTTGTGGCAATTCAGCGAGCAGTCGAGACCACGTAGGAACGGACGCCGGACACGCTGTCAAAAAATTCACCGCCGACAGACATTTGAAGCAAAATGGTACACATTTAAGAATGTCAAGAAAAATAAGGGTAAATATGGGCAAGAGCGAAAAATGTATTCAACGTCTCAAGAAAGACTTGTTTTCGAACACGACACCATTATTTGATGTGGATAACATATATTTATCGCCCCATCGTGTTTTGAATCAAAATGGTACACGTTTAAGAAACTCGAGGAAAATAAGGGGAAATAGGGGCAAGAACAAAAAATGTAATCAACGTCTCCGGAAAGACTTGTTTTCGAACACGGCACCTTTATTTGATGTGGATAATGTATATTTATCGCCCCATCGTGTTTTGAAGCAAAATGGTACACGTTTAAGAAAGTCAAGGAAAATAAGGGTAAATAGGGGCAAGAACAAAAAATGTAATCAACATCTCCAGAAAGACTTGTTTTCGAACATGACACCATTATTTGATGTGGATAACATATATTATTGCCCCATCATGTTTTGAAGCAAAAATCAAATATCCCACATGTAATATCCCGATATTTTATCAGTCTAAATTATGTTTTAGTTTCGATATAATAACGTTATCAATTATTATTTTCGGAATTAATTATTTTCAGTCGAGAGTACCGAAATTTATTTTCGACGTACCGTTTACGTTCGGAATAATTTTGGTAATTAAGAATTATGTTTAATTGAATGATTAAACATAATTAAGTGATTAATTCCTAATTAATCACATTAGCTAAGGTTAAGTTGTATGGAATTTCTATTCCAAATTCCTAAAAGCCGTAAGAAATTAGAGTTGCCCCCTAATGGGTTTCAATAGCCGTATGGACATGTATTAAGTTTCCAAATTTCATCAAAATTTTTCTTAAGTCTTAAGAATCAATTCCTTCCGATTTTATTATGGACACGTGGCCTTAGTAGGACTTAAAGGGGGAGATTAGTCATCCATCTTGAGGTCATTAGTTGGCAAGTGTAAGGTTAATAAAAGGCCACAAATCACCTACATCATCATGTCTCTCTCGGCCTTCTTTATAAATAGCATAAGATTTGGAAAATTTCTCCACCTTTACCACATATATGCAGCCGTATATCAGCAGCCTTAGTCCCTAAATTCAGCTCCAAATAACTTAGCATATTATCATAAGATTTCCATACTCATCGCACGGTTAGTAGAGGAACGTCAAGTAATAGCATCGCACCGGCACGTACAAGCAAGGTCTCGAGCGATTTCGATATTCCGATGAGTACTTAAGAAGGTATCGTCATCCTCGACTTATTTTTATGGCCATGAGTTCGTTTTAAGCTGAAGTGTTCGACTCATGTTCAAGAGGTTCTAATATTGCCGTGTTAAAGTTCGAATATGCCTAAGTTGAACCGTGATTGAGTAACTTCTTGTTTTACCCGGCAACTCATGAACCATTTATGTTTAAATAATCAGTTTATCTCATTTTATGTTCAGTCACTCGAGGATGGTCGAGGAAAAATGTTGTTTTTATGTGAAATGGCCCAAAGCCGTCGCTAGCGCTCATCGTGCGTAGCCACGGGCGGCATCAAGTAACGTTCTGTTATTTTCAGTGATGGTCACGTTCTCTCGTGTGATTGCGTCTTAATAGCCTTTAAATAATGTTTCATGTTTATTTGGTCGGGAGTTGCCGAGGGAAAAGGTGTTTTAGTCGAGAGACGGCCTATCGCCGTCGGCGGCGCACGGCGCGCTCGCCTCGGTCCCGTTCAGTTGATCGTGCGAAGAGTGCTATTTTCAAGTTATTTCCATAACCATGTTCATATTAAGTCATGTCATGTTGTGTGATGTCGTGGTTGCCGAAGG